CTATCGTTCAATTACCGAACTAATCGGTATTATTTTGAAATTGAGGTTGGTTCGAAACTCGACTATTGAAAAAACTATACCGGGTGATTCAAATAGAAATTGAAATTAAAATAGAATGTGCAGAAAGTTAAATGTTTATTTGAATCACCCGGTATACTTTTTTCCTTAGCCGAGTTTCGACCCATCAGTAATTTATATAATATCGCCATCTATCGTTCAGTTACCGAACTAATCGGAACTATTTTGATATTGAGGTTGGTTCGAAACTCGACTATTGAAAAAACTATACCGGGTGATTCAAATAAAGATTGATATTAAAATAAAATGTGCAGAAAGTTAAATGTTTTTTTGAATCACCCGGTATACTTTTTTCCTTAGCCGAGTTTCGAACCATCAGTAATTTATATAATATCGCCATCTATCGTTCAATTACCGAACTAATCGGAACTATTTTGAAATTGAGGTTGGTTCGAAACTCGACTATTGAAAAAACTATACCGGGTGATTCAAATAAAGATTGAAATTAAAATAAAATGTGCAGAAAGTTAAATGTTTTTTTGAATCACCCGGTATACTTTTTTCCTTAGCCGAGTTTCGAACCATCAGTAATTTATATAATATCGCCATCTATCGTTCAATTACCGAACTAATCGGAACTATTTTGAAATTGAGGTTGGTTCGAAACTCGACTATTGAAAAAACTATACCGGGTGATTCAAATAAAAATTGAAATTAAAATAAAATGTGCAGAAAGTTAAATGTTTTTTTGAATCACCCGGTATACTTTTTTCCTTAGCCGAGTTTCGAACCATCAGTAATTTATATAATATCGCCATCTATCGTTCAATTACCGAACTAATCGGAACTATTTTGAAATTGAGGTTGGTTCGAAACTCGACTATTGAAAAAACTATACCGGGTGATTCAAATAAAAATTGAAATTAAAATAAAATGTGCAGAAAGTTAAATGTTTTTTTGAATCACCCGGTATACTTTTTTCCTTAGCCGAGTTTCGAACCATCAGTAATTTATATAATATCGCCATCTATCGTTCAATTACCGAACTAATCGGAACTATTTTGAAATTGAGGTTGGTTCGAAACTCGACTATTGAAAAAACTATACCGGGTGATTCAAATAAAAATTGAAATTAAAATAAAATGTGCAGAAAGTTAAATGTTTTTTTGAATCACCCGGTATACTTTTTTCCTTAGCCGAGTTTCGAACCATCAGTAATTTATATAATATCGCCATCTATCGTTCAATTACCGAACTAATCGGAACTATTTTGAAATTGAGGTTGGTTCGAAACTCGACTATTGAAAAAACTATACCGGGTGATTCAAATAAAAATTGAAATTAAAATAAAATGTGCAGAAAGTTAAATGTTTTTTTGAATCACCCGGTATACTTTTTTCCTTAGCCGAGTTTCGAACCATCAGTAATTTATATAATATCGCCATCTATCGTTCAATTACCGAACTAATCGGAACTATTTTGAAATTGAGGTTGGTTCGAAACTCGACTATTGAAAAAACTATACCGGGTGATTCAAATAAAAATTGAAATTAAAATAAAATGTGCAGAAAGTTAAATGTTTTTTTGAATCACCCGGTATACTTTTTTCCTTAGCCGAGTTTCGAACCATCAGTAATTTATATAATATCGCCATCTATCGTTCAATTACCGAACTAATCGGAACTATTTTGAAATTGAGGTTGGTTCGAAACTCGACTATTGAAAAAACTATACCGGGTGATTCAAATAAAAATTGAAATTAAAATAAAATGTGCAGAAAGTTAAATGTTTTTTTGAATCACCCGGTATACTTTTTTCCTTAGCCGAGTTTCGAACCATCAGTAATTTATATAATATCGCCATCTATCGTTCAATTACCGAACTAATCGGAACTATTTTGAAATTGAGGTTGGTTCGAAACTCGACTATTGAAAAAACTATACCGGGTGATTCAAATAAAAATTGAAATTAAAATAAAATGTGCAGAAAGTTAAATGTTTTTTTGAATCACCCGGTATACTTTTTTCCTTAGCCGAGTTTCGAACCATCAGTAATTTATATAATATCGCCATCTATCGTTCAATTACCGAACTAATCGGAACTATTTTGAAATTGAGGTTGGTTCGAAACTCGACTATTGAAAAAACTATACCGGGTGATTCAAATAAAAATTGAAATTAAAATAAAATGTGCAGAAAGTTAAATGTTTTTTTGAATCACCCGGTATACTTTTTTCCTTAGCCGAGTTTCGAACCATCAGTAATTTATATAATATCGCCATCTATCGTTCAATTACCGAACTAATCGGAACTATTTTGAAATTGAGGTTGGTTCGAAACTCGACTATTGAAAAAACTATACCGGGTGATTCAAATAAAGATTGATATTAAAATAAAATGTGCAGAAAGTTAAATGTTTTTCTGAATCACCCGGTATACTTTTTTCCTTAGCCGAGTTTCGAACCATCAGTAATTTACATAATATCGCCATCTATCGTTCAATTGCCGAACTAATCGGTATTATTTTGAAATTGAGGTTGGTTCGAAACTCGACTAATGAAAAAATTATACCGAGCAATTCAAATAAAGATTATGTTTACTCGGTTTACTCAATGGACTTTGGGTTAGAGATTGATNAATTGAGGTTGGTTCGAAACTCGACTATTGAAAAAACTATACCGGGTGATTCAAATAAAAATTGAAATTAAAATGAAATGTGCAGAAAGTTAAATGTTTTTTTGAATCACCCGGTATACTTTTTTCCTTAGCCGAGTTTCGAACCATCAGTAATTTATATGATATCGCCATCTATCGTTCGATTACCGAACTAATCGGAACTATTTTGAAATTGAGGTTGGTTCGCAACTCGACTATTGAAAAAACTATACCGGGTGATTCAAATAAAAATTGAAATTAAAATAGAATGTGCAGAAAGTTAAATGTTTTTTTGAATCACCCTGTATACTTTTTTCCTTAGCCGAGTTTCGAACCATCAGTAATTTATATAATATCGCCATCTATCGTTCAATTACCGAACTAATCGGAACTATTTTAAAATTGAGATTGGTTCGAAACTCGACTATTGAAAAAACTATACCGGGTGATTCAAATAAAGATTATGTTTAGGGGTTGTGGTGCCAATGATGATGATGATGTTGAAAAACATTGATAATTTACGTTCGAAGGTTTATTTGCAAAAAATACAAAGTCGTACAATGAAATTCACATTTAAATTTACTTTTTTGATAATAATTCTTACAGAGAAAAACTCAAAAAAGTAATCCGAGTTAGATTGATATGTCCTATTAAATATCTATAACAACAATTTGAAAGGAAAGATAATTTCAATATAAGATAAGTAAGTAGCGTGTTAATTACAAAAAGGAAGGTTGTTTTTTTCTTTTTTAATTATTTTTGGCACGCTAATAAGAAATTTGACACTTCAGTTTCTATTAAAAAAAAAAAAAAAACAATTCATTAAATCGGAAATAAATGGCACTGTAAAAATACCATTAAATCGAAATATGTACAATTTCCTCGATCGAAATTTTATTTTATTATTAATTTTTTTTTGATGTAGATAAATATAGTTGTTAATTAAGTTGTGATTATATTACAAAGTTTTTATTTGAAATCACAGATTAACTTTATAAAAAAAAAATTAAGTTTAAAAAAAAGTTAATAATTTAAGTACGTTTAAATAAAATTAATTGATATAAAAAACGAGTTAATCTGGCTTCTATTAAAAAAATTAATTATTTTTTGTCTTTATTGGAATGTCTTCCACAGCCAGTTTTAAAAATTATGGCCCGGACAACTTCAACTGTCCGAGAAAAGAAATTCGCTCTCCGACAGCAAAACATCCAGGTCCGATTGGACGGTATCAATATTTGAGTCAATATCTTCATTATTTGATTTTAAAACGGTCGTTTTTGACGTTGAAGTTCCTACACCTTCATCGCCCGTCGGTTTTACAGCATTCTTTTTCAACTTTTCCCTCTCTTTATTACCACTACTCCTCACCAACACCGCAGTTCTCGGTTTTTTTAACCCGCGACTTTCCACAACAACAACGGGAGATTTCTCCGGCTTTTTTAATTTAACACTAAACTTAAACGGCGGTTTATAAACCACTTGAAGTCGAACTTTGTCTTTATCACTCGATAAGTTACCGATACTTTGTGATTTTTTATGTTCGGTTCTTTTCGTTAACCGTTTATGAGGACTTCTCGACTTATCGGTTAAACCCGCGGGGGTTGATTTTGATTTGGGTAGTTGATGCGATTTTAATAACCAATTTTGAACTTTTCCAACCGGATCCGTTAAGTTGTCGGTTTCTTGATTTAACAATCCCTTTTTGCCGTTGTCGTTATCGTTTTGAGCCCCGCTATAATCGATGACTTCTTTCTTTTTCTTGGTTTTTCTTCGGCTAACTGACGATTTTTTTACTTTACTTGGTGGGATTTCAATCACTGCGGTTGTATCACCCGTTTTTTTTCGCGATTCCTCCGCGCTAACTGCCGCGGAAACTCGCATTTTCTTCTTAGGCGAACCTTTTTTAGTTGGACTATTTATATTATTATTATTATTTTGAGCTTCTTTTTTAACCGCCGGTTTTCTTCCCAATTTTTTACCATTTCTTACTTTTCTTTTTAAGGGCAACTTTGAACGTAGCGGGGGATGAACCGTTACTTGCCCATCGACATCAGGAAGTCTTACAGTTTCCGTTGTTTGACTATGTATTATTGTCACTGATTTTACTTTTACATTTGGACGTTTTCCTAATAGTTTTGTGCTTAAAATCTAAAAACCGTCAATTTTGTTTTAGTAATTAATCAAATTTAATACATTTTTTAACACGTTGACTGCCGCAATAGTCACTAAAAGTCTATTCATTCTGGCCTAAATTATTATTGTTTTCAGTCGAGAAGCAGCTATGATTGTAAATGTGATTGTGTAAATCAAAAATGCTGTACGTGGAGGGTATATGTTGAATTCAGGTTAGTTTTTGGTATAAAAAGTGTCAGTAAAAATGAGTTACGAAGAAGAACAACAAAAATTGTGGCAGGAGTGTCTTTCAGATAAAGACGATAATGAACCATTTGAGGATTCTGGTGATGAATTTGTTCCCGGAAATTCTAATTATTCTTCTGATGATGAACCTGCTAGAAAAAAACCACGCAATGTAAATAAACCTAAAAAAGCATAAGATAGTGTATTGGACACAATAAATGATGTTATTCAAGCAAATATGCAAGAAAGTAGTGATGAGAACAAATGTTGGCGTATTTGGAACAAAAAACACAGTGAATATAAGCTTTTCAAATTATTTCTAACCTCAGAAGTCATTGAACTAGAGGTACGAGAATCGAATAAACAATCCACATCAAATTATTAATAGCAAAATCTCAAAAAATTGTAGCTAACTTAACTTTATGAGTAAAAAGTCATCAAAACGATTTGGTACAAATTCGAATGCAATCTAATAGAAGAGAGATTAATCTAATATACAGTGTGTCCCAGGATAGATGTTACAAGGGGTATAATGACTTAAAAAATTTTGAATTTTATTTTTAGGCTGAGTAATTAAGCCCTGCTTGGTGTGGAGAGAATTTTAAGTATATTTTCATATTTTGAAAGTCTTGATAGTGAAGCGAAAACTATTTTGAGTTCAGGTAAAGTAAGCTTTTTGTTCATGATGCGGCAAAATATTGTGCTGTTTTACTTGTGTGATGTTTTATACACAAGTTATTAATCTATAAATTTGGGTTTCTTTAATTTTAAGCGACTCTTATAAAAAACTCAGGGTTTCGGGCAAGTTCAGGTTCAAAAGAATATTAATCAGGTTCGAGAAAAAATTCATTTAATTAAACACAAAATCAAATTAACTCGTTATATGAGTAACAAAAAAAAATGGTTTTCCTAAATTTACTTTAATAACAATGTTTATTTACGAGTGATAAATTTTTAAATAAAATAGATAACTGCGGTTATCGACTGAAATATCGATATTAGAGAGAACCCGTTTATTACTTGAGAGAGAGAGAGTAGGATAAAACTAGTTAGAACCGTTCTTTGAAAATAACAAATGGCCGATGCCTTAAGTTGTCATCAAACTCGTTAAAAAAAAATAGAATTAAATAAATGAACGTTATTCAAGAAAACTAATAAATCTTTACACACAAGTAAGTATTGATCAAAATTATAGGAAACTCTTGTGAGTTGTTCTTTGAGTTTGATTCTTTGAATTTTCTTTTTGTAGGTTATGTTAAATAATAAAATAAAATTATCATCCGACTCACTGTATAAAAGAAAGGATTGGAGTTCAATGTGGTATCTGGATTATGGAATTGTCTCTTGTGTTCGGGGCACTAACTAATTTTCTGGATTGTCTACAGGATTCTTCTTACGGGTAATTGCACTGTTTGTTCTTCGGAAATAGGGTCTTGGATGATCTCGAAGAAGTATCGGTAGTTCTCGGAATAGGTTGTAGGATGATTCTCTTTTTATTTTAATATCGT